TTGAATGGCATGAAATGTTTTCCATGATTTGAATATATATTCTCAATTTCAACGAGTGCGCATTGCTGAACGATAGTCGAGCGTGCGAACAAATCTACGAAGCGCCATGCTTTTTTTTTTGGCGTGTAGAAACCGCAAAACTTTTTTTTATTAAAGTAACTGCGATACTTGCATTCTTGAGCCCCTTGAAGAAGTGGGATGAGATGCTTCGATTCCGAACTTCAAGTGCAATTATGACCTCGTGAAGGCACGACCCAAATGACGAGGCAAAAAATGAAGACGTGCGCGCGTTGCACTGAGGATCCGACCGACCCTAGGAAACGTTCCTTTTGAGAACTTCAATTCTATACATCCGCGTCATTCATTTTCTAACTTTATTTTTCAAAAACAATTCAGACTTTGGGCCAGAAGCGTCAGCTGGACGCCAATAACCCCAGAGAATTTCCCCCGGCGTCCGGAAAAATAAAGACGGGATTAGGAGATAATCCTTTCCGTGACAAATGCTTATTTCATTTCGTTGGGAAACATAAATTTGGTTTCCCCGCAATCAGTTAAACTCCAAAACTGCGGAAAGTTCCGGGCGAAGAGAAACTAAATACGAATTATTTCACAGCACGAACGTCCTGAAAATTGTTTCGAATATCATAATCGAAGAGAAACTCAAGTAGCTTGATTTCGAGGTTTTCAACCTTCGCTCCAGCACGGTTAAAAATATCATAATGCAAAAATAAAAGGAATGAAAAACATTAAAGTTGCATTCACTGACGCCTGTGCGATGGGGCACACATGAAAAAGGCTGAGACTCCAGACAAAATATTTTGCCGAATGGGACTCCGCGTCAGAATTCAATTCCAAAAAAGAACATCTCATGTCAAACCGGGAAGGAATGTCAGTCACGTTTGGCTCATTTATTACCTAAATTATTCGCAGAGCTCCAGGTGATATTTTTACAGTAATGCGGAGAAAAAGTCAACATTACGGAAGCAAAGCAGAAATCTGAGAGCGCAGGCGAAAGAAACCCACGGCCGTGATGCGCGTAGGCAGCATCCCAGATTCCCATATCTTTTTTCTCTCTTTTTTTTTATCGTCAGTCGCAGGAAATTCGTCCGCCTTTCTCTTGATACGCATCGCCGACGCTCGCCCAAGTACGTGATCCGAGTCGAGATTAACTCGGACTTTGCCTCATTATCAACGGACGCCCGGCTGCGCGAATGTGGCTTTTTTTTCTTGAATGACTTCACCACGTAATCTTCTTTCTCACATGGAATCAATATTTTCAAAATATACTTCCCGGAATTCATAACGATCAGGACTTGATTCATAACGACAGACGCGAGACCACTCGATGCTTCTGTCCGAACCCGGCAGAACGATCAGAAATATGTCCATATTCGGCGAGAATTCGCACGAACCACACTCGTTGTGGATCAAGATTATCAAATCAAAAATATTTTTGATATCATGAATTACGATTTTCTGACATTCTTCTTTCTTTCCCCCCAAACGGTACTATCCCTTGTTTCACTGAAAATGAAACTCTGAGGCTTCGAAATTGCATGTGCAGTTGAACATCGATAACTCAAACCTTCCTAAATCGAATGACTCCCAACTTTTAATTTTGGTTTTTTTAGTCTCCGTCCGTATTCCCTCAGAAACAATGCATTAAAAATTATAAGCTCTCCCCAACTCGAAGGCTTTCCTCCTCAAATCTTAATTCCTCGAATTTTTTGGAGGCCTTTTAACTATTAATTTTATTGACACACGAAAGAGAAAAGCAATACAAATTTAAATTGACACAGTTTGAAAGGAGATGAAAGAATATTTGGAGGATATGTCGTTGTCTTCAATTTGAGCATCCTGTCAACTCATTAAAGAAGCAATTCAAGGCCCAGAATATCAAAAATTACGATTTTCTGCAATTCTTCTTTCTTTCCCCCGAAAGAAAGAAAGCTCGTGTCCCTCACTCGAAATCTCCGCGACTCGCATTTATTTGCTGGTCCCCTTGTGGGACACAGAGGGCAGGTCACGTAAATATAAAAATACTTATGCTCAAATCGAATTAGCGAACTTGATTTAAATCAAAGAATGGAATGCGGCAGCGGGAAATTCCGTTGGAAGCTCCCGCTGCCGTGAATTGCGCAATTGTAAATCTCGTATTTCTCGCGATGACTGAATTACTACTATGTTCCTGAAGTTCGAGGCGTTCGGTTGTTCTCGAAATTTTTGTCTGTGCGAATTTGTCTTCCAATTGAAACCCCTATTATTGTGTTTATTATTGAATTCATTCTGAAGTCCTAAAAAGAGTTCTATCTACTTTGAAATACACTTTTCTATTTTCTCTGAAGATTCTGCCGAGAACCTTCCTGCCGTGTTCCCCGGCGGATTGTGACTTTTATTGATTTATTTATTCTTTAATTCATTCGAATTCTTTGTGAGCTCGTAGCTCTACACCCCTGATGCTCCACCTGAAGAGGTTCGAATGTCTCATTTTCAGGATACTCCCTCAACTCTCTTATGCAAAAAGATCTTTCAATTTTGACTGAATCCTTCCAAGCTACACAAATGCATTCTTCGCGAGCTCGACATGTCGTGCAATCCGTCCATTTTCCCTTAGAAATTATTTCGGTACTTCTACCGATATTATTTATTAAAAATGTAGATAAGTTACAGTGATTATCCAAACTTCGTGTTGATTTGAAATTCAGCCTGTGAATTTAGAAGAATTTTCATTCGGCTCAACGTCACTTTTGACTGACGAAGAGTGTCGTAGATAATTTTTCATGCATAGAAAGATTAAACGACGAACAATGAGACGCTCTTGAAGTCACTTCACGCTACGACGGGAATCCCACTCCAGCATTCCGAGGTCAGCGGAAATACACGTCACAAACGGAGATACGACGGCAATAAAGAACAGCGACGTCTTCGTCCCTCATTTAAGAATCCTGCAGAGCACTGATCGAGGTTAGCCAGGTTGCGATGAAACATGCCGCTCAGGCTTTTGGCAAATAACGGACCCCAAGCAGCTTCAAGTACCCCACGCTAATTCAACAACCTTCAGGTGTCAAGGAACGTTACATGAATTACTGTCCTGTAACTCGACCCCAGGAAACGTCGGCAGAATAAACGGCGGAAGTAACCTCGGGACGCGAGTGCACGGCATGATTTCTCACTTCCCACCAAGAGCAGACTGAATACAGGTACTCCCTTGTTCCCAGACTCGACGATTAGGAATCTTTTCGATAATCGCGACAGGTTCCCGCGGCGAGAGATTCATCGCGGTTGTTCGCGTCGACTTACATAATAATTCAGACATCAATTCCCCTACACTAAAAATTTAACTCGCAAGATGATACAAACATTTTTCATTCCTGTGTCGAACACGCGCCACTTTTCTTTTTTTTTCGATTTTAGCGCAGCGAAAATTTTAGCGCATTTTTTGAAGTCGGAAAAAATGAATGAAGCGGTTCTTACCGGCGCTCTTTTCACTGAAAAAAAAAATGTTGGCAGTGTGTAAACGCCAACTAATTAATGTGCACGGTATGACACTTCAGGTGAGCGTTTGTCGAAGTCAAATACAGAACGGGCAACCATATTACTGTACAGCATGAAACGCAATTTTTTCTATTCCAAGAAATGTTGCATGGTGCTGAGAAAATAAATACGCGTCTCCGACAAGTGGTCAAGAGCCACGAAATAGCTCCGGAGTGAGCTACACCTAGACGAGGCACGTTTAATGGGACACGAGTTTCATTATAAAAGGCAATTTTTCCGACGAGGGAATTGAATTTGTTATGTTCAACTACTCTTCAACACGCTCCAATATCCTTTCTTTAAATTAATATTAAAATCGTAATTAATATTTGACATTGTTCTTACGCAATGCCTCTTAAGAAACACTCACTGCAAAGTAAAAAATTCCTCAACGATATTGAAATGTGATACTAAAAACGAAGCGCAGACAAAGCATTAAATTAGGAGACACTACCAGATAAAGAGTGACTTTCATTAAAGAAAATTGGTAACTTGTACGCCCATCGCGAAAAAAAGCAATGAAGTTACGTAATAAAGCATACCACACTTTACTTTCCTTCCTCCTAGGAATTTTTACGAAAATGGGCCCATTTTCTGACAAACGTCCTCAGGAGGATTTTCCTGGGACTGAACGCAGATCAACAGTTCTGCAGTTTATTTTTTCCAATGTTAAAGCTGAAGAAGTGGCTCACCTGATCTTCAGCGATTTTTTTTTACGAAACGGATGAGATATCGACATTTTTCTCTCTCGAATACACAGAAACGTTGGCGCCATTGAAAGTTCAAGGTAGTGAATATCACTCATTCGGCGATGATTTTATTTTGCTTTCTCTTTTGATCCACTGACCCTGATTTGAAGATTAATAAATTTCTTGGAACCATTATGTACATCAGACGGTACAAGAAGGTCAGCCGCGAATGCATCAGTAAGACAGGAACCAAATTTCTCCCCGAGGATCGGGCAGGAAAATTCGAGGTGTTGGCAATGATGGGCACGAAAAGACATCATGTAGCAATAGCATCGGAAGCAGTTATAAGAACTTGTGACAGATTTGTGGCGTGCTTCGGACGAATTCCCTGTCATTACCATCAAGCTCCGAATCTATCCGTGACCTCGTCACGCATGACAATAGATCTGGTTTCAACCCGGGAATGTTTCCTTCGCTTGAAACACTTTCTCCGCTGCCACACATGTTCGAGGAAACGAGTCGTAATTTTTTCTCGGCTACAAGCGCATTTCGTAACAATCCCGTTCAACGTCAAAAATGCTCGCTTTCCGACGTCGATATTGAGTAACTTAATCCTTCCCGATGTTGGTTAATCCAAAAAGCTCATCAACAACTTCCCGAATCCCTTTCGAACTACAGTTGAAATACCTCGCAACGCGTAGTTTCTCAAAATTTTTTTTCTACCAGCATTGAATCTTCCTACAACGCCTCAATATGCCAACAAAAGAAGAAGAAAACTCACTTTTTCCCAAGCGCAGGAACGAACTCGTCCGACAAAGGTCGATTCGTGTCATTGGAGGCAAACAAGGACATGTAGTGACCAGCGGATTCCCCGGTTTGCCGGAGTTTCTCACGCAATTCTTCAATAGACGACTCACCCGACAAACTGTAAGAAAAATCCCCGAGAAAAATTCCATAAAGTTGGAATCCGTGAGAATGGAGTGCTGGAATATTGGACTTATACGCAACAGAATCCAACGAAGACAATCGATCATCACAAAAACTTTTTCGTGAGTCTCGCAGATCATCTCAACCATAATTGTGAATCTGTTGTAACATGAATATAACTTTTCCGAAAATTATCCTGGATTTATAAAATAAATCTCATTAAATTCCCGCCCAGAACAACCTGAAAGACAAATAAATGGGTTTGAGAATTGCCTTCGGTGAAAATCTCGCAGTCAAGGGTGCAGGAGTCACTTTTCATGACTGGAAAACCTGTCGCAAACCGAATAATGAAATCGTAAACTTTTTTCTAGCTATTCCAGACGCCATGCATAAAACTACGATTAGATTTTCCTAAATTAATTGATGGTATCTCATCCCCATCTACTTGTAGTGGCAAACATATTTTTCATAAATCCACGAGAAATTGCTCGCAATTTACAAGGTTTACTGGGGACTCGCAGGTGCTCTGAGAAACACCCTCGTACTCGTTAAATATTCTTTCAACAGCTACTTACTCCGCAAGCATCGCAGGATCCGAACCCATAGTGCTGAATGTCAGTTGGCCAACACTGAGATCTGAGGATGAGAAGTAGAAAAATCATCAAAAGCTAGTTCACGATGATCTCACAACTGGACGGACCGTCATCAACAGTTGGAATGTCCCCTGGGGTCACGGCAAGAACGGTCTGGGTATTGGCCAGGAGGTCCGGCTGATCACTAATTTCGTCATCGATCAAAAAATCGTCCAGACCACCATCTAAAATAGCGTCGACGTCATCTTTCCGCGGCTTCTGCAACGACTTCTTGAACGCCGTCTCCAGGTCCTTCTCAAACACACGAGACAACTCGTCTTCCCGCGGGTCATCATCGCGCGACCCATCTTCACTCGTACTCCCAACAATGGATATCGACGACAGACTCTCACCGGACATGGATCTCACCGGACTCAGATCCGCAACCCTTTCCTTCGACGGAAACGCCAGCGGACGAAGTTTAAAGCTCTTCGTCGCCGGGTCCGTGACTGCCACGTAACGAGGTCGTTTCTTCTTCAATGAACCCGTTGTTTCGACAGGCGTCGATTTCGGGGAAGACGCTCCTTTTGGCAAATAACGCCACGCGGTGGGTTGTGAGTCCGAGCACTCAAGAGACGGCTTGAGGCTACTCAGGGAATTGCAGCCCCTGCTAGGCGGTATTTTCGAACGCTGTGGTTTTCTATGGCACTCCCACGAACTCGCCTTGTTTACTGATCCGTTTTGAAGAACACTTGTGTTATCACGCTTCGGAGTGATATCTGAAAAATTCAAGAGACGCAAAAAATAACTTAACTTATTTTAATACTCGCAACCACTCACGCGATTAACGAAAAATATTTTGAACCCGGATTGAAGCACGAACACCATGCTTTTCATATCAGGAAACTACAACTTATATATTACAAAATTTTCAGTATGAAACTAATGTCTGTGCAACTGAAGCTAGGGTTACTCAAGAGCATCATGTTTCGGAAAGAAAGAAATCAAGTAAAGCTATCCAAAATACCGGGAAGTACCGAATTCCAAAATGGACGCGATTTTAATTCCACAGAGGTTTGGAGTGGATCACCGTAAATTTCGCTCTCAACAGGAATCTCTTCCAGTATTAGGGCTGACTAAATGTCAATTCCGCAAATCGAAAGAAACTTAAACTTTTGGCGAAAGAAACCGGAAAATCGAGCTTACAGCTGCTCCTCGGCACGGGAGAACTGGAGAGCAATGACGCTCGCGTTGCTTTTTTGGCATCCTCCAGATTCCTCATAGGGAGCTTACAGTTCATTATCTTCGGAGATGTTCGCATTTCCTCAGTACTCGGAATGCTGTGACAAAAAGTTTACGGTTAGCAAGCACCCCACCTCATGGATGAGGAACAAAGTCAACCAACCGGGAAGTCGATCGATTCGAGGCACCCGTATACGGTGAAACCGGAGAATTCGTTGAGGTCTGTGTTCCTTTTGTGCATATACCTAAAAAAAAATGACAGGACTCATTCGCCAATGAAGTGGTTATATACGTCACAAATAAGTCATAACGATAAAACCACAAAAATGTAAAAATAAAAGATTATTAAAATGATCCCAGAACTGGAGGATTCAAAGTAAATTTCCACATAACTCGCGGAAAATCTTACCGGAGTCGGGAGTCTCAGAAACGATGCAGCGTTTGTCGCGCATATTTTCCCCAATCCATGGAACATACTTGGGATCATAATGACCCAGATTCTCTTCGGTACTCGCACCTGACGAAGTTCTGAAAAAAGGATATGGAGGTTATCCCAAAAATCCTGAACAATTCAAAAGAAATAACTTGCCTCGAAGTTGCGCGGGACGTACGACCGGTCGAATTCGGGGAGAATTTGGCATAAAATCGATCCGTCCTCGTTGCAGCGTTGGATTTACGTACTTCAAAAATTTCTGGAAAATATTTCATGTTAATGACTTAATCCAGTTATTTTATTTTTCTATTCAACCGGTTTAAGGCTGAAATCTTTTTAAAAAAGGATGCGGCGAAGTCAAAAAGAATAATACAAAAATATGGAATCTTAATCTTCTCTTACAGAAAAGGGATCTGGGAAGATTGTTCCCAAGTATTTTCTCCCTGAATTAGCCAGCCCTTTAATCCCCTTTGGATGGGATCAAAGGATTATGAAAAAATGCTAGTAAGACTTCCCCCTTCTTTTACCCTGTGAGAAATTTTACCTCTGTTGCAATTGAAGTCAAGTTTCTGCGGCGACTGTAGACGAGTCACGACAGGGATGCTCGTAGGTATCTGAGTAAAGCGAACGTTGACCTTTTGGGGAACACATAACTTGGACTCCACGATAACAGTTTCACCGAAAGCCTCAGTGTTCTTTCTCTCCTTCCCATTCCCTTCATTCACGCTTTCCAACAGGCGAGGCTTGTGATTGCAATTCTGGTCGATACTTTGCGAAGATTCGTTCCTCGTCATGGCCTCATTTAGCGTCACGTTGATGTTGGTCGGTTTAGTTGGATTCCTAGGCGATATTCTCGGTGCGGGAGGTTTGGGGTGAATGGCGGCAGGGGTACCGTCACCGGGAGACACCCATCCGCTTCTAAGGACACCGCGGAAACCCGTCGGCACCCGTAGACCACTTTCCGGAGCATTTTTCGTCTTTTGCGTTTCATTCGACGAACGGGAATTGAATGGGTTGCCAATGCAAAGCCGACGCGAAGGGGTTTTCAGCTTCCCGTCACGCACCTGTGAACATCGAGTAATACTGTAATAAGAGATAATTGAAGTGATCCTCAGTCAAATCATCTATTCGTGCCCGTCTAGCAAAAATATTTAAAAACAAACCAACATTCCCTAAAATTGTGTCAAAATACATGGAATTCCAGTAAAATTCCGTAAAAGCGAATTTTTAAATATTGTATAACGCATGGTCCCAGCAGTTTCTTCATAAGATCAATACTATAGAAATTTCGTTATGGCAAACTTAATCTTCTACAATCTCAGGATGATAGAGAAATTTTGCTTGATTTCGTGTGCACGAGCGATGTACATTTTTACTAATTTTAACACCAAATTGTGCATCATTGAAAAGCCTCAAAAATATCAACACTACTTTCTTGCACATAACATTTAGCATTCCAGGAAATATAAAGCTCGATTAAAATGTATCTGGCTTTACAAGATTTTAGAATTTATAAATGGCTAATTTCAAGAAAGAAAAGTATGTTTAACTTTGAAAGGATACTGCTCTATTTCAGGGAACATACAGTAATGAATAAATTAATTTTTCACACACACATTTTCTGTTCATTTGAGCTTTTACTTCAGTAAGATCAATAGATTTTAAAAATGTTTAAAACAGGTAAGGTTTGAAATAAGAGAATTGTAATTCACAATTTGAATTTGCTCCATCATGTCATCAAAAGAGTTGGAAAGATGGCAATTCTCCACATATCTGTCGTGGAAGTACTTCAAAGCATTTATTACCGGTTTTCCACAAATGTTAGTCACCACACATGCTCAAAGAACCATGAATGTCATGGTGAAGAATTTTTTCTCGGGTCCCTGGAAGTTCGTTGTATCAAGATTGTACTGTACTTCGAAGAAATCTCTTTCAGAGCCACGCGGTTCACCTCGAATAACTTGAAAATTTTTAGGGAAGAGTAATTGAGACTATTTCAGGAGCTTTTCTAATTCATCAAATTCATTCAATACATGACAAAATACTCGCCAAAACCACGGATCCAGGCGGAGGAGCCATCACGCCGTCCCGATGCAGGTTAGGACGCACCGTAGACGTACATCCACTTGGCGGTTTTGCAAAGCCATCACAACTAGGTTTCGAGCACTTTGTGCCCATGAATTGCAATTCATGGGCTCACGCGAAACCACTGATCGCGATCGCAAAACCGAAAAATCTGCGGAGAATTTTAAAACATGCCAATCATCTCTTTGGGGAATGACCCGGAATCAATTCACGATGCACGGCAGTTGAACAGTAACGTATCGCTCCAGAAAATAACCATTGCAATTTCCAAGAATCCACGAAACATTTCGTTCAAACCGAATGGCGAAGGACAGACATCAAGATACAAAAATTGCGCGTCTAGAAGCTTCTACGGCCAAATGGTACATGAATTAAAAGTATAACCAAAAATAATAATACCGCACGACGTTGGCTCGGTAGGACAGTCAAGAATAGTTCTTTCAACGCGAAGAATTAAACCGTTACCTCAATTCCCGACCTAACTCAGCCCGCATCACATTGATACTCCGGAATTAAAATTTGCTCAATTATTTAGTGAATGATCATGATGTACGGCATTCCGGTTACGACCTTTGACAGAGGCACCAACACATGGAAAATTATTAGGATCAAAATATTCGCATTCAGTGAATGACGAACCTGGTTCTTCTTCTTATAAATTAGTAGAAGGAATTTCATTACGACCGAAAACGACTCTGTCAAAGGCTACGGCGATCTTCACAATCTGCCAAATCCGTGAATCGAATAGGAATTCAACCAAAGGAAGTGGCTTGTCGTTACAATATTTAACTGTACATCACCGCGTTGATCATTCGCAAATTCGATACGAAGTGAAGCTAAGACAGCTATGCAAAAGGAACATTCACGTTTCGAGTAGTACCCTGTCTGCCACACAGGCAAAAAGTGGAGCTGAGACGCGCCGCGTAGACTCAAAAGCAGGTTCGTCATATCTGTACACACGCAATCAACGAAGTTGGGAAGGCACAGCCTAGTCCTAATGAGGCCGAGAAGTTCAAATTCAGGATTCCTTGGTTTCAAAAGCGCGGTCATTTCCCGCTTTCAAATAAATTAACATCACTTCTCAAACTCGCTCCGCTACAATCATCCAAAAAAGGAGCGAAATACACAGCACTTCCATCGTGCGACTCGTCCGCCGATACAATCTCACACTGTCATTCAAAAAATAAACTTCGGGAGAAGATGATCCCATCATTAGAGCCCTTTGGCAAAAACTAAACACCTTCAACCCCCCAAGAAAAAATTCCAGCCCCAAATAGGACGGGTAAAGCAGAAGTATTTGTGCATTACATGCAGAGATTGAACGAACTGCAGGCTAGGGAAATACCCCACATCTTCATCAAGAAGCAAAAAAAAAAAATCGCAAGCATCGATACAATCGCCCCGGACGGATTTTTGGTAATTGTTTCCACACAATCGTCTCGGGATTTATGCTCGTGCACTCAAGTAAACGTCATATCAGCTTCTAAAACTTTGCTGCCACCATTTAATGGTGGTCAATTGTCCTTCGTATTTTGGACATAATATCCGACACAGAGATCAGACGCTTTGATAAAAAGTCATTAATACTAACTGAAACGGGATCAAAATAGCATGAAACGGAAAGAAGGAATGGATTGATACTGCACACGAAAGTTCATTGACAATACGAACAGTTTCGAAAATAATAATAATAAAGGAAGGAAAAGCACGAGATGCGGGATCACACATGAGCATCAACCGTTCGATATTGCTCTGTCACGTATGCCTAAGCTATTAGAAACGTGGATGGAACTAGTGTTAGCCTGATCAACACTTCCTCCGGCTAATAAGGATAAAATAGAGAGAAGAAAACCCGCGCAGGAAAAACCCCGCGGATACTATTTTTGATATTTACTTGCTTCATGGACCTGTAACAGGAAGACAAAAACGCGAGCTCTCCAACTACCGCTTCCACACGCTTCCAATTGCAGGCAATACTGAAATCATACCTCAATTGATCAGTGATTCGACTTCAGTAATTCTAAAGCCCAGGCAAGATACAAGAATAGCGTTCGGCGAATACACACGTCACTTTGCTAATGGATTTATCCAATCGTTGTTCGAACCAAATGATGCAGCACTCGCGAAGCGCGGAGCTCACTTGTTTGGTAAAATAAAATAAAAATGTTGAAGTCGTACAAACTCTTCTGAGCGCACCGGAAGCGCAAGGGGAAAAATAGCTGAACCAGAACGATTCGGAGAGAGTCTGGATGCTTAAAAAAGACTCGCTTAATATCCCCGCACCCGCACACAATTCTCGGAATCCTTTTACCCCGTTTCGCACGCGGAAAATTCGCAAAAAAAAAGGAAGTACATTTTCCAGCATTTTAGAAACCACTGCACCGCGACTGCAGCATTCCCGAACAAACCGTATGACGAGTGCGTGAGCATTCGAAAGGCTGAAGACCTATGCACTCCCACAATAACACACCAAGAACACGATAGTCCTTGGGTACTAACGAACTACCCAAATCTGCGTCTTGCTGCGTTTCAGCAATGCGCTCAGCACCTTGTACGGATTCCTATCCGGCAGTTCCATGCGACGATAAAATCCACTAACAATTGCAAATCCTGGGGCATCCATTCAAGCGCGATGGAAAGTCTGCGCACAACCAAGACAACCAGAAATAGAAAATCCCTGCAGACACCATTCGTGCCAGCAAGAATCAGGGAACAATCCTTTCTCATACAGAATAAGCTTTACAAACTGAACGGATACTCATGCATGATGAACTTCGGTGAGATGCATGTTGCAGTATTTCAAGATACAGTATCTCCATTTTAACTCACTGGGATAGAACTAGAACATTGCGACAGAATTAAATTAAGCTCGTCTCCTGAAAAGTGCATCAACAAATAATCGGCGAACCCATCACCTGATTGTCTAACAACGAAAATATCTAGCTTCAAAAACAACTAAGAGGCAAGTACCAACCTTTGACCATTCTATTATTCGATCGACAATTCCAAATTATTTTCGAAAAGCAAAAAACCCGTTAGTTTGATGTAACCATGTAAGATTACGCAAACTTCTATGTACAGTAAAATAATCGCTAGGGAAGAATTTTGTGGATCGCTGGTAAGAGAAACGATAGTCCGGTCCAATGGAACGAAAGAAGTATGAACTTAACTTTCGAGCGAAGTTCAAGGACGTTTTAGGAATTCGTAAGTAATTTTTTTTTCATACGAACGAATCAATTCGGACAAGGAATCATGGCACCTACTACTCTATTTTGCTAACAAACATTAGACCGAGGTCCGGAAGAGGATTGCTGTTGGCTGTCACAAGTTGGCCCAGTGGGAGATGATCAACGTTCGTCGTGCAACCAGGGAACAGTACACTCTGCTTGGGTTCACGCAACTGCTGTAATCCTGCTGGTGACAAGTTAGTGTCCTTGGTTCCGGTGCTGTCAGCCTTCGTAGAACCATCTTCAATCAAATCCACGTCGTTTTCCTGGCTCTTGTTTCCCCTCATCGCATTTTTCTGGCAGGGATCAAACGGATCAACAATGATTTGCTCAGTGCCTTTGATCTCTGCTCGACAAAACGGGCAGCCTTGTCCTTCCGATTCCTGCCAGGAGGACAAGCAGGGTGTGCAAAGAAGATGTCCACAGGGCTCGATCCGGATGTCTTTGTTGTTTTCGGCACAAATCTTGCAAAGTTGGAAAGTGGAGCCCATTTCACAATAGAGCTCGTACTGCTCCTGAGTCACACGAATGTGATCTTCCGGTGCGTTTTGAACAGCACTGGACAAATCTGGATTCACTGGTCTGCCATCCGGGAATAAGTAGAAACCTTCACGATAGCCATCCAACAGCGCTTGACACAGGCTTTTGTTTTGAGGGATGGTTTGCAAAATGTTTCCATCTGCAGTTACGTAGCCGATGGCCCACTGTCCCAGGCGCGTGCAGCTCAATCTGAACACGTAGCTTCCCGGCTGGAACATATACTGCTGGAGCCGGGCCTTCACTTCGTCGTAAGTCAGGAACGCTACATAGCCTGGGTGTGTAACGGCCAGGATCTTCCAGTTCTGCAGCAATGTGGACCACGGCTGGAAATATCAAAAACATGCATCGTGAAACATTATTAGGCTACAAATAACTCGACCAGGACAGATTTTTGTACAAGAAGACTTCCACGTTGCACCTGCGCCAAATAAAGATGTTTTAGTCTGGATTAGGCACTGTTACTCAAATTATCCCGAGGATATTACGAAGAAAGAAAAAAGGCCTCACCTGAAAAAGCCGAGTGAAGACATCGAATTCGAAGCTAGATATGTAGTCGTTGCATGTCAAATCGATGGTAGACTTCAGGGCCATTGCCTCAAGCCCGAGGTTGATTTCGTGAACTTCGTTGAGAGTTTGACGGAAGACTTTCCAAGGCACAATCGTACGATCCAAGAACGCTGATTTCCAGAACTCCGCCGCATCACTTTTTGTGATGCGAAACTGGTCACCACTAAAAGCGAAACTGTTGCTCGGGAAGAATGCTTTTAATTCGTTCAACATATGGCTGAAAACCAAACTTAGTTTGATCAGATTTCTCCGATAATGCAAGTTTTCGTCAAACATTTTTTCCTTTCCATCCTTGAAAAGCTTGATGGCTTGCTTGCATTTCCTGATCAGATTTTCGACGAATATCTTGAAATATTCATTTTCGTTCAGCATATGTAGCTTGTCCTCGTACTTTTTGTAGATTTGGCGCATGTGCTGATAGGTATCTGGGAGGATATCGAGGATGAAAGGTGGGGAATTCTTCAAATTCATCTGCGGTTGTTGACACAATTTGACGACTTTGTCCATAAGTTTCCAAGTTTTCTGGATGGTTCTAACGTCAATGACTAATCGTGGAGGAGCAATGGCATCAGTGAATCGTCCTTGAATACGGGAGATCAGCGATGAAATCGGCCGGGGCTGAGAATTTCGCGGCCATGCAGTAGAAGCCATTCCTTCACCACTGCTTGAACACTGCAGTAACGTTCAATGGTCTGAAAACTTCCCTTTGGGGGAAGCACATGCACTACCGAGTCACTCCCATAGTTTCCTGCGAAAAATGGATGGTACTAGATCAATCTCACGCCGTGATGCGAGCAGGCACGATGAACACACTGACAATATTTCAGAACGCATAGATGAAATTATCAAGAAAACTGAGGCACATTCGGCAAACGGCAACAGTTGGACCGCGCACTATGTTGCCTACCACCGCAAAATCTGATCTGTACTTCAGACGTTTGAGAACTTGGAAAAGTGACAAATGACACTCGTTCGGACACTGACCCCGCGTCCGAATTCCACGACCGGATTCACCAACTCAACCTCACTCGTCGTGCAAACGAATTGCTTCTGCTGAGCAGAGAAGTATCAGTAACTTTCAGTCTGCATGGAAAAACTTGCTCCATTCAGTTTACAAGCTTTGAAGCACGGGCATATGGAAAATCTTTCGAAAATTTTTTACACCCTTAGATTCTGCCCCAAAGCTCCGCCGCACACCGAAGCGCAGCGCACATCTAGCCACGGCAGACGCCAGAGCACTCCGCGGGACAGATAAAAAGGTTTAAGTAGGTGTCGCTATTAGCTCCACAGCAGGAAGCTTGCGAGTTGCAATTTACAAATGCTGATGAGTGATGAAAGCCCTAAATACAGGCAGTAATGTACAGTACTGCTGTGTATAGGGGTTCAATATGCCGCAGTACAGTATGTACTGCTGGGATATTGAACCCCTATACAGTATGCAGCGAGAATTTATAGCATGCAAATTCAAATGATGCTTCACCTTGGCACCTTCCATCAGTGAGTCGCCTAACCTGAGGAGAAAAATTTGTTTGCCCATAGTTTTCGGCGAAAATTATTTTCGTATCCCAAAAATGTGATCCAGCAGTTGCTGGTGCTTGTGTTCAACTTTTTCCGATGCTGTGCATGAGAATACAGTATAAATAAGATGCTGTACTGATGAACATAACATATATGAAAATACAACGAATGGAATACAGTACAGTACTGTACAGTATTTCGGACTCGCGAGCTAGTCTACTGCAATTATATATAGATGAGCAAACTGAATGATAGCAACTGAGGTGCATCAGGGCCTTTCATTTTATACAGGAAAATAGAAACAGAATTTCCTTCATTAAAGAAAAATAGACTTTAATTATCAAATTTAGGTATGTTTTCGTTTTATTCATAAAGGAGCGCATTCACAAGAAAATGTTTGAATGCATGCACTTTATATTCTGGGCAGTTGTCAAGACCAATGCAGGGCCTAAGAATAAGCAATACATCAGTTAAAGATTACAGTACAATATACTGTAATGTGTTCCCCCCTCCTGAATGTTGGTTGTAAAGTAACAGCGACATCTACATAATTTTTTATGGGAAAGAATAACGAGAAATAAAGACTTTGCCGCAGGTGTCAAACAAAAGTGTTACTGTACCGGATGCAATTTTCGTGGTCAACAGTTTTTAGACCTTCAGTATACAGTAGTTCATTACAGTATTGCGAGTTTTAGATGAAAACTTCTTTGCATTTCTTATAATAAGGAACCAATAACTTGTTGCGAAATAAACGAGCATGGAATTTATTTTTCGCCATTTGCGAGCCATCAACATCAGGGATTCATCAGCAAAAAAGGACCATATATGACACACGCAAATATTTTTCATCAAGATTTTTCTCGAGCACATCGAATACACGGAATCTGATTCACATCTCGGCGAAGGTTTTCGCTTCCAACAAAGTACATGCGCTGTATATGACTCTCACAATAAAAAACGCAGCCTTTTTAATTTAAAGTTCTAAACGGTTTTTCAGCTTATTGTGGAGTATAATTCGTTTAAATACTGTATACAGTACATTAATTAATTTTGGTCATCAAATCTTGTCTGAGTACATTGCACTTGGCGGAGATTCAATCCGTATTTTGACTCATTCTTTTGTTACATTTTTCTCTTCAGTTTCAAAATAATAACACAAAAATTCGCACATTATCGAAAAAAAGAACACTCCACATCATACACATGATAACATTTCAACAACAAAAATTTCCCCGAATATATCGTTTGATTCTGCGTACAGTATTTTCTTTTTCCCGATTGAAACCAAGTCCAGAAAGCATTGCATTATTTATTGAACGAATTTTTTTCTCGCATATCGGGATAAGAAATAATTTAATCTCAGCTTCTAAAAAAATCATAAAAATGTAAGATTTCCTCAGTTTTTTGTTGCGCTTATAACTAGTCAAAAAGCACAGTGTATTAGGTTGGCCGTAACGGAAAGTAATAATTTTCGGCAATGATTATAATCGGCTCTGATTTGCGCAGTACAAGTACCGTCACAGCCTGCGGGTCCTCGGAACACCTGGAGCATATCAAATGCGGAAGCAGTCAGTTGATGATGGTGACAATAATTTTGGAGAAATCAGAAAAACAGCTTGAACGACATCAAATAAATTTGAGATTTACAGCAAAAGTAAAAGATTGCATGCTTACACATAACAGTGCCGAGTCCTCAAGTGCGTCCAAAAACAGAGCGTTCAAAAAGATCTTGACGAAATTAAATATGAACGAGTGAAAAATAATGCAAGAAAACAACAGTGTCAAGAAAATGATCAACTATGCGATTTTCAGTATTCAAGAACTACGAAAAAAGTTTTATTCGTGTTTTGGTCATTCTTTCAACTTAACTCATGAAAGTTATACCAAGTCAGAAGCCATCTCTCTCTGAATTCACTCAAAAACAATGCCTCAAGAGCCTCCCTCGCTCAAAGGCTTTCCTCATCAAACCTCCATAACTCAAATTTTCTCGAGACCTTTTGGCTATTATATTATTGTCAAAGTGAAGAGAAAATCAATAAAAATTTAACTGAATGTGTTCTGAAATTATGTAAGAGGTTAGTTGGGCAAATTTACCCTTGCCTCCAAGTTCAGCATCTTGTTGCATTCAAGAAGCTGTTTCAGGCCCAAAATATCAAGAATTACAATTTCTTGCAATCTTTCGTTACCCAACAAAAATGATTGTTTTCCTAATTCGAATTGTTTGTCGAGGTCTCTTGAAGTTCGACTTGAACTAGGTTCGACTGCATACGTCAACGATTGTCAGTGAATCAATCATGTAACATTTTAAAGGCCCCCGAATGCATTTATTAGGATACTCTCAAGGTTTCCCTTTTCATTTTTATTACTTCTTACTTTGACAGAAGTAAAATTTTTAAACGTAAAGGAAGAACTTATCCACGTATTTTTAACCTGTGAGTCGCGTGAATGACTTGTTTAAAAAAGCATTTGAAGTCACTAATATTACCAAGAAGAACTGGATCAGTACTTGACACTGCTATTTTTGTCATGCCTTAGAAACTATAAAATCGTACTAGTGAAATTTTGCTCACTTTTGCTGTCCTCGACACGCGCTGTTTTGCCGTGAAGCGCTGTGTTTTCGGACGCGCTGATTTGTCAAGACATAACACATTTCAAATGCCAGCTAATCACGTCGAAAGCAATTAGGAAAAAAACAGAGAATTTTCTGAAACCCTCCCCCCCCCCCCCCCACCCCCGCCCCTCAGCATTCAGTGCAAATTCAAGTTGGGGAGGAGCGATCAGCAGGATCGCTGGTTTTTCGCTTCAGGAAACATTCCAAAGCGCTACCGAATGCCGAAACGTCAAGGACTATCCCGACGTTGTCGTCCCAAACAACGTCGTCATTCGACGGAGATGACATTTCCTGATCCTCATTTTTATCGCCTTCGTTGTCAGGGGTAGTTGCGGCAGCAGTGGCGCCCTTTTCTGGGTCAGGACGTGGGGCCTTGGGCAGCGTTCGGAACCCGCTGATGGCCATGCTTAGGGTTTTCCAGCCCATTCTGGGCTTGCTGGTCTTCTTGGAGTCGTCTTTGCTCACGATGAACGAGTCTAGGTCGTCTTTCGTGCACACGATTCCACCAGGACCTTCCGCTGGACCCGAAACCACTAAAATAATAAAAAATACTTGTCTTGAGTTGCTGTCACCCAGGCGATACTGTGAAATTATTTCCCATCAGTAATTTAATACGATGAATAGAACGTGCACACGTCTCACACAGTCCGGGGCTCGCCTGTGAAAATTCTTACAAAAATTCCAAGAAAATTTTCATATTAGATACTATTGAGGTAAAAATGGTTTTCACGCATCAAAATGAGAACGCACAAAATTGCACTCTTTAACAGTTACTGAAGATGGCAATAATTCCAGAATTGGTAGTTAGAGCAAGAATGCAAGAAAAGTGGCTTTTATCAAATTACTTTCCCAGAAAGATCAGAGAGATTAATTAGAGAGAAAATGCGTTTCCTGCAGAAACATTATAATGCATAATGCTATCTTGTTTACTCCATCATCGCTTTGAAATTGTGTGGTGATGTGTTCCTAATTATTGGCTCCTATATAGCGAGCTTTTAAGTTATTAATAAATTAGTGTCCCAAACAACTCAGGTTGATTGATGTAAAGAAAATGGGTTTCAAGCGGCAAACTTTTAATTTGTGACAAATAACTCAAAAATGCTTGAGAATTTCTCTGAATAATATGGTAAACACATGCGCGTACTGTATATGCTTTGTCCACAACCTTCTGTATTGGGTTTCAGTCGGCTTATTATTTTAAGATAACAATATATTTTTCCTGATTCAAAGTCTGGATATGAAAGTTGAAGATACATGCTCAAGTGCTCATTGAAATGAGGTACAGCAGACAGCGTGTTGGAGTACCCGGTGCAAACAAGGAATGGAGAATTAAGACCACCCCCGCACCCGTGCATTCCTGATTTCCAGGAATTCGTATCAATTTATCCTCCGGGTTGATCGATATTATCAATACTGAATGCTAATCATGCAGTCCTCAACAATCACTGAAATTTCGGGTAGTTCTATGCAGGGAAAGTTTGATCTTCGGCAAAGGAATCTGAGATGAAACAATTTCTGACGTAAGACAGACTTTGATCTAATATTCACAAAGGAATCTTTGGGAGATCCGTACTATAGAATATCACATGTTAAGTTCTGCCCCTTTTCCGGATTAGATTATCCCAACA